GGGAGTTTCAAAGAATTGCATGTTCAATGGCAATTTCAAAGCGGAATGAGCAGTTCTTCCACCCGGTAGCAATGTCGCAGCTATTCCGGACGACGCAAGAGCTAAGGCTATGTCATTTTGGGATCGAATTGCTGCCAAAATCAATCTAATTAGGAATATTTTACCAGTTCCTCCTGGCGCATCTAAGAAGAAGATTTCTGCAACCCTGTTATTGACAGTTTGCATTAATTGATTGTAAATGCCTTTTTGCTCAAGCGTTAGCTTAGGAATATTTGATTGCACATACGACAAAAGATCACCCGTCTTGTAATTTTGTTCACGACGCAATTCTGCATTGAACGAAGCAGCAGCAGATCGATTCGATGATGGCATTCCCAATTGACTGAGAACTTTGTTCGCGATTTCTAAGCACAAATCCTAATCATTATCAACGCCTCGTTGTAAATTTCTGCTGTGAAATCCATGTTCATATTGGAATTATCCTTGCGCATTCGAAGGAAAGTATCTTCAGCCATGTGTTGCTTTGTTGATTCCGCGATTCCTACGCAACGACCCATTGTTATTGCGCTGTCTCTGCTGGAACGCTCCGTGTATTCGTCGTAACCATGGGGATTCGATACAGTATCGCTATTGTTACTTCCTATGCAACGGTCACTCTTCTGAATTCCAAATTCCAATTCCGGTTTTCAAAAGACGCATGTTTTTACCTGTCACAGGTGTGACATCTATATAATGGGTATATAAAAACATGCGCGTGCTCGAATGCAACCTTGTATCAAAATTTCAAAGCAATCGGTGAAGAATTTTCGGAGATCTTCGAGGGCTAACAAACCAACATTTACATTTTTATTTATATAGATTTTTTATTGTTACTTAAATAGCAATCAGAATTATCATATTGTAACGGCCGGATAATAGTCGCTGTGAGGAGTAGCCGAAACAGCAGGAGACCCACCAAGCACATCCTTGGAAGAAAAGGAACGGGGGTGCACCGTTAGGCTATTGGGGACGAACAGCCTTAAGGAGGGAGCAGTGTGACGTGTTGCGCTATGCAGGACACCCCTCCCTCCGCCAGCGGTGACGTGACCAAGGGA